GTACTTGAATAAGTTCTTGCTCCATTGTCATTTGAGATGTTAATTTCCTTTTAGTGGATGGTTTATAGTTAGTAGAGGTCTCCTTGAAGGGTTTGGTTGATGTGAAGTCGGTAGTTAATGGTTTATCTGTACAGGATGAGAGTTTCTCTTAAATCTTTAGTGGGTTGTTCTAATTGTTCAAGCTCTCGTGAGTGTTRAAGATCAGAGTAGCGCAGCAGAAGCGTGGTAGCTTTATTGYTTAGTTTTGTTGTGAAGACAATTCTCTTGTTTTTATGAAAATTTTAGGTAGTCTTAGTAACGGTCCCTGTTGGGAAATGGTGAAATTCCTGGGGCGTTACAAATAGTATATCATATCACATACATATATGAGTAATCAGATATATTATTACAGATATATTACAAATATATATCATTTGAGTAAAGTTGTCATTTTAAAATTGGACCTCCGATTTTTTTATGTTATATTTGAAAAAACTAAATATGATTGCTATTTTACGAGTTTTACTCAACGTTTTTGACATGTTTTCACTGTCCCAAAGAAAGAACAGTTGTGTTTATAATACTCCCCACATTTTTCTTGATGTCCAACAGGAATAACAATGCTGATGATATATTCTCGCCAAAAAAAAACTTCCACCTGTTTTCAATTGTTGAAAGTCATCTGTAGACATTAATAAATAAATCAAATAGAACTTTGTGAATATATAACTTATCTTTCATAAACAGCAAATTATAGAATGATACGAGTAATTATTGGGAGAGGGTACCTCCATTTTTGTGTTATTATGAACGAAGATATCCAGTTCAGAGTAGTTCAAAGTGGCCCTCTTGAATACCTCAACAAGTTTCAAGTCTGAAGCGCGTAGTTTCTACACGTAAGTAAAAGTGATTTATAAGAAAGAAAGAAGTCGGCGTTTTCACATATATAGATCGAAAAAGGAGATAATAAAAATTTGAACAGAATTAAAGAAGCAAATTTATAGAGTAGAAGAAGAAGTTACATACATGTACCGTAAGAAGAGACCAAGAAGTAGAAAAAACTTTTACAACTGAAAAGAAGAGGGAGGAGAATTGCAGCACACAAGTGTGCTTCCATTAGTACTAATTTTCTCTTGGCTTTATAGAAGGTGGGGGTTCCATCGATTTTTCCACGTGTGAAATTGCAAAATCTTTTAGCTATATTTTAAAAGTAAATGATACTTTAGTTGAATTTATGAAATCAAATCATATTTAATTATAAAGTATCTATGTTAAAAAGTTATTTAATTTTCAAATTTAATAATATATGTGTATTTGTCTTAAAAAAAATAAAAGATATGTATAGTATATTGATTTTCAACTTATTGATATTAAAACATCATAAATATATGAAATTTTAATTTTAACTAATTCACATAATGTATTTTATTTTAAATTAGTTTAGATCAAATTTTTTGTTATATAAAATTTGAAACTTTGTTTCAATTTATTATTAATGGTTTGATTGAATTGAAATCTTAATATGCATGGTGGTGGATGGATAAAAGAAAATAAACAAGTTGAGATACTTAATTAATACGTAAATTATATTGGGTAGCTAAACTTTTACACATATTTACAAAAATGTCAACCACTTTTGTATTTTGTAAATATGGCAAAATATTTGAATTTTTATTTTCGGAATTTTTATTATTCCAGTTTTATCCTTATCATATATGATATACACCCGATGTATACCTGATATACGTCTGGTAGATTACGCCTATTATATTTCTAATATACTTCCGATCTACATCTTATGTACATCCGATGTATCTCTGATATACATCTGATATACCTCTAACTTATGATATACTAAATATATTTGTAATGATATACCTATGTATATCTTATCTGATATATATCCTATGTATCTCTGATGTACATTTGATGTACATATGATATATATCGGTGGCATACTAAATATATTTGTAACTGATATCTGATATACATCAGTAGATCACAGATGCATCAATGTTAGATATCAGTAGATATATCAGTATATATCATGATTATATCAATGGTAAATTAGAGACAGTTAGGTATATATCATAGATGCATCAAAATTATATTAGTGGTAAATCATATAATCATATGAGAAGTTATATTAGTAGATATCATAGTTACATCAGTGGTAAATTAAAGACATATCAAGTATATATCATAGATATATAAGTGTTATATCAACATTGTAAATCAACGGTAAATTATATAATCATATAAAAACTTATATCAGTGGAAAACATAGTTGTATCATACGTATATCAGTGATAAACCATATTAGAAGTTATATTGGTAGATATCATAGATATATCGTAAGTAAATAAATTGTATATCAGTATTATATCAGTGGTATATCAAAGGCATATCAATAATATATTACACATAAATCAGTGGTAAATCAATAAATAATAAATAATATAATCATATAAGAAGTTATATTAGTAGATATCATAGTTATATCAATGATATATCATTTGTACATCAGTAATAAATAAGATGTATATCAAGTATGTATCAGAGAGAGAGAGATAGATATATATATATATATATATATATATATATATATGCTATAACAATGGTATGTCAATGCTACGAGGATAAATTAGACATTTTATTATTGGATTTCCGTTTTTTCTAAAAATTTTACTATATTTGCAAATCTAAAAGGTAGATGCTAAATTTGTTATTTCTTTAAATTTTTTTGCTATATTTATAACTGCCCCTAATTAATAATACATAAAGCATGAAATAGCAAATTAAAAAAATAGAAGGAAAAAATTAGAAAAAGAAATTAGACGACTCAAATCATTGCAACAAATCCCTGCACCCCAAACACAAGATATCCAATCTAATTATCTTATGGATTTCCCAGCATATCACAATACCCGTGCATGTGTTCATATCAAATCATTATTACCAATCTTGTCTTGTATGACAATTATGAACTGTAAAAAAGATTGAAATTTTTAAATAAAAAAAACCGTCACAAATTTTGGACACGTTTTTTCAGAAAAAGAAAACTAATTTTAAATAATAGTTTAAAACTATCACGAAAATTGAATTTTTTTTTTATTCAATGACAGTCAATAATTGTAACGAAATGGTGTGGTGCGATTTTGGCCCAAAAAAAGACGGTGATTTATGAAATTTTCCAATTTATATGACATTTTATAGATGTCGAGGAAATTAAAAAAAAAATCCAATATTCCACGACAATCATTAATGCTCCAATATTAATATATAATACAATTTTTTTTTGTCGTCATAAAAAAAAAACTCAATATTATATGTGGTTTACATTTATTTTTTCTTTAACGCCCATCTTTCTAAATGTTTTGGGGTTTAGTATCTAAAATTGGAAAGATTTTCTCTTCCCATCCCTAAAGTAACAAAATAAACAAGTAATAATAACAAGGGTGTGATTGGAGTATCATGCCAAAATCAATTTTGCGTTCCTCAGAATTACTTCCCTTCCCACGTATCATGTTTGGCAAATTAAAAATAATTTTAAGAAAGTTTAAAATGATTTTAAATTGATTTTTAATGTATCAGTTAGATGGTAATTTTTAAAAATCAAATATATTTAAATATTTTTTTACAAAATCACTCCTTCTACCACTCTCAAACACATCCTAAAAGACCAATCCTAAGTTTTGGATGCTGCGGGAACGAAGTTAATATCATATTATCACTTACATGAATTAGCAATCTTCTATAATTATGTTCAAATCTTTTTCAATGTAAAAAAGAAACAAAAGTAGTTCTTTCTTTCTAAGATAATAAAACTTACTATGATAAAAGCATTTTTAAATACGAAAACTCAAATAATCATCTATTATTGGGAACTTTTTAATTAAAAAAATATATGTATATAATTTTTGTTTTAGGCAATTTATTGCAAAACTACATTTGGCAGCAGCACCAGCGGCATTAAAGCCTTCATGGGACCCCAAAAGAATTAAAGGCAAAGGAGCCGTAGAACATTATTCATTAATATGACACATTATTCATTATTACTCAATATTATGTGTAATTTTCATCTTCTTGTTTCTTTTTTTCTTTTTTTCTTTTTTACCCATTTTTGAAATGTTTTTGGCTCGATATCTAAAATTGGAAAGATTTTCTTGATCCTCTCATTAAATGTTGCAGGCTGCCCAACCAAGAGTTTTGGATGTAGTGGAAATGAAGTTTTTTTTAGTGAATGAAAATGAAGTTAATTTCATAATAATACCTTTGGTAAAGCGAGCATAGTTTAACGAAAATTAGCATATATCACTAACTAAGAGTTTGTGAGTTCGGTCGCCCTCTCACATATTGTACAAAAAAATATACTATCTTTTTGTTATTATTATTATTTTTTTTACAATAAAGTTAATATCACTCGCATGAGTTAACAATTTTCTAAATAAAAATAATTTATTATTGGGCATGCACACTTTTAATCAAATAATTTATGAAATAGAGGTTAATGAACTTGATATGAGAAGAGAGAGAGATAAGAGAAGTGAATTGAATGGGATGCAGGTTCCAAACAGAGAAAAATATAATTTCCACTCTATTTACTCAATAATATCTCCCCTTTAATTCTACTCTGCTTAGTATTTGAAAAAGGACAGGAAAATCGAAATACATTAATAATACTGAATTCAAGTACTGTACCAAATTTAGTAATAGGTAACTTGTTTGCAAAAATTATTGTTGGCAGTGTTAGGTTTGTGTAAATAAAGTGAAGAAAGTGTGCAAAAAAAAAAAAGTATTTAATTTTGTCTAAATTGGGTTCATTTGCTAAAAAATTTAAACTGTGATTAAACCATATTCACCGGATCAGTATGGCAACGTTATTATAGGAGATATTACTGGAAATGCAATTAAAGTCTAGCATTAGCTAAATAAGGGGTATATAGCAGAGACTTCATGGGACCGGAAGAAAAAAAACAAAGCGGTAGAGCGCGTGTAGAGCAGGAGCCGTATAACATAATTCATTGACAGGACATAAAATGCCAGTTGAAACATAAAACTTATTGTATTTGATATATAATATATTTTGCTAATATAATTTTGAAATGTATAGAACAAATAGAACAAACATTATTTTGCTAATATAATTTTGAAATGTATAGAACAAATAGAACAAAAATGATTTAGCTAATAGATTAATTGAATATTTGGGAGTGATTTTAGAAAAAAAGATTTATTTACTATTAATTTTGCAAGAGTGATTTAAATATAATTTATTTTATGTTTGGTTGGAAATCATTTTAAAATTTAAATTTTTAATGTTTGTTTCAAAACTGATTTAAAAAATATGAAATTCTTAAAAAAAAGACATTAAATTAAAGAAATTATTAAATTAAACAATTATTTAACTTTTTATTCAAACGATTATGAAAAAAAAAATATTATTATAGTTTAAATCATTATAATTGATTTATGATAAA